AGGACTTTAGCCATTATCTTGTAAACACTAGTCACTAGACTAATGGGTCGGAAATCCTTTGGATGGCTAGCATCACCTTTCTTTGGAATCAAGGCCAAGAAAGTTGCATTAACTCCAGGGCTAACAATATGTGTATTTGAGAATTCCTTAAAGACTTTAATCAAATCATCTTTCAACACTTCCCAACGATCTTGATAGAAAGCCATTGTGAATCCATCTAGGCCCGGTGCTTTAGACCTATTTATGGAGAACACTGCCTTTCTTATTTCTTCTTCCTCAAAATCTCTTTCCAGCCAATTTGCTGCCTCCTCATCTAGTAAAGGCCACTCCAATCCTTCTAAACTCATCCTATCCTCTAGAGGTCTCCTATAAAGGGATTTAAAGTGGTCCACAAAGATTTTGGCAATTTCTCCCTGATTTGAGATTAGCTCTCCATTGATTTCCAACCTAGCCACAAAGTTTTTGCACCTTCTTCCATTGGCGATCGCGTGAAAGAATTTTGTATTCCCATCCCTTTCCTTTATCCATTTTTGTCTTGACTTTTGTCTCCAAGAAATTTCCTCTCTCTTGAGGACTTCTTCCAATTCTTTCTTTGATTTCCATCTTAAATCCCTCTCTTCCACACAGAGATTTCTCTCATTTTCCACATTGTCCAACTCTTCAATCTGGGAAATTAGAGTCAGTTTCCTTTCCTCTAACCTTCCAAAATGGTCCATATTCCACTCTTTCATTTTAGATCTTAATCTTTGCAATTTCTCATGGAATTTGATTCCTTCCCACCTTATTCCCCTTAATTCCTCCTTCTACCAATCCTCCACTTTCCGAATAAAATCCGGATGCATCAACCACATGTTTTCAATTTGAAAGGAGTAGGGCCATGTAAAAAGATTTCTGTTCCTAATCTAATGGGGTGGTGATCTGAAGTGACTCTAGGCAACGCTCTGGAAACCAAACCTTCCCAATGATTTTCCCATCCTATATTGAACAGAAATCTATCTAGCTTTGAGCATAGTGGGTTTTCCTGAAAATTGGACCAAGTGAAATTGGATTGCAACAAGGAGATCTCCTTCAATTCACACAAGTCTATGAATTCATTAAATTTCCTCATACTAGTGGTGATAGACTGATTGGGATTAGAAGTTTCATTGGAAAACCTTATCACATTGAAGTCCCCTCCCAAACACCAAGCACCTTCCCACAAACCCCAAATTGCAAACAGTTCCTCCCACATATCACTTCTCTCTCTATAACTATTTGGTCCATAGACATTAGTTAACACCCAATTGAATCCATCCTCCACGCTCTTGAATTTTAATGATATGGTATACCTACCTATCAATTCTTCCATTGCTTCAATCACTTCATCCTTCCACAAGATCACTATACCCCCTAAAGCCCCCCAAGATGGAGCCTCAACCCATCTTATTCCTCTTGATCTCCACACACTACTGATCAACCTTCGATTCAATTCTGTTAATTTGGTCTCTTGCAGCATTACCACATCAGGATCCTCTCTTTTTATTAGGTCTTTTATCACACTCCTTTTCCTTGCACTCCCCAAACCTTTTACATTCCAACTAATTAATTTCATGTTTTCACCTTTTAATTTGAACCCTCTTTTTATTCTTCCCTCCCTACTTTGGTTGCTTATGTCTATCTCCTCTCCCACTAAATTCGATATCACCCTCTACATCAAAGATCAGCCTTTCCACTTCTGTCTTTTTCTTCTTCCGCTTTTTGTTTTTTTCTTCACTCTTTCTAGAAAACATCTTTGTCTTCTGAATTCCTTGCTCTTTTGTATTCTCCCTTAAGATTGGGTCATCCTTTTCTTACACACCCTCCTGACTTATCTCTTTCTTTTTTTTTCCAATCCTCAAGAATTTCACTGATTAGGCCCCAAATCCGTTCCACTTCCTCTTCCCTCCCCCTCCTATCTTCTACCTCTCCCTCTTCTAATCTCACAGTCCTATCTCCACCCTCTCTCCTTAACCAATCAAGCTAGGTAGCTGGTGTACCTTTTTCGGGCAGAGCACGCATATCAGTAGCCAAAACTGAAAGGACACACTTACTTGGAGACGTTCGATGAGGATCGAAGACAAGTGTGGTTGGGAAGTCCTGTTTGGAGCCCAGCAAATCAGAATCAGCCCCTGAAATTTGCCTATGTTGAGTGGGAGTGGGATTATTAACAATTCTGGTTGCGCCTATAACCTTTTCAAATGCACCCTTCTCCATTGCCTCCATACTCATCTTCAAAGTTTCCTCTTGACTCACTTCCTGTGCATCCTGTTCTTGCTGGAACACAGGAGGTAATCTCTCTAAGTCAGGGGAAGGTGCCGTCTGCTCAACTTTGACTGCATGTACTGCCTGCCCAGATTCCTTTGTTTCTTTTGTATTGGTCGATTTTTCCTTTTCTTCTCCCAAGAACAATTCTTCAGTGTTGAAACTCTCTGCTTCGTTCATATCAATCCGCACTGTTTGATCTATACTGCCCAAGCTTGAGTATTCACTCAAGTCTGACTCACCCTCGCTGGAACTCTCTTCAAACTCTGAATCTAGGTCTTGTACCTTCTCCTTACCTTTACCATCACATCTATTAAATTTTGGGTTTCGCTTTTCAGGGGAAACCAGAGTTTTCCCTTTACTCTGTACCCAGATCATTGCCGAACACTGCCTTGGTATTTTCGGTTTCCTTGTCACTGACTTGATCAAAGAGGAAGAAGATGGACTAGCATTACCGTCCATCAATGGGCTGTCCTTATGACTCACGTGCCCTTTAATGCCCAACAGCTGGGCCCCAATTATGTTTCAAGGTACCCCGCCCCTGTTTCAAAAGCCCAGGCCCATTTTTCTTATAACCCATCATGTGATTACTTAAAGTGCCAAGTGATGGGTTATTAACATTTGACCCTAATGGCTCAGTTCTGTTCAAATCTGATACACCAGCTGGCTGACCCACCCCTTCTTTTGAAATTTGAATTTGGGATTGTTTCACACGTCGAGGTCCATTGGTCAGCGCCTCAGCATAAGACCAGCCGTGTGTCTCATCCCTTTCCTTCCTTGCCTTATAAGCTTCTTCCTCTTTTAGTTCACCTTTTCCTCTCCCCAGATTTTGCTTAGCCATTTCAGTGTAATTTCCTTTCTCCTTTCCTGCATCCACGTGACTTCTTCCACGTAACCATTCTTCTACCTTCTCATCTTCTTCCCTTCTTCCCTCCCTCCAAAACTCAGCTTCAATGGCTGCTACTAGCCAGGCTGAAAAAAAGATTCCATCAACCAGTACCTTTACTGAACGTGGGATATCTTCCAAGTTTACATTACTCAAACATACTGCAGCTGAATAGAGGTCTTTAACAAAAAAACCCTCTAACCTTGCTTTGCACAGAGTAGCTATTGAGGCAAAAACATCTGAAATCCATAGGTGAAACGGTAGCCCCAAGATTCGAACAATTACTTTGTCCCTCGCGTGCAGATCCTTAGAGTTAGAATGAGGAGTCCATTTTGAAACAGTCACAGAGGCTGACTCCAATTGACAACACATAGCCTGGAGTTCCATTTTCTCTTCTACCAACTCTAGAAGGGCCTTACACTTTTCAAAGGGGGTTAAAATAACAGTACTGTTTAACTTCAGCTTCTTTAGCAACTCCTCAGCAATTCTCTTCCAGTCCTTCGGTGGGGCTGTTAAGGTAACAATAAATTTCTTCTCCCAGTCATTCTTATGCATGTTGCAAACCATTCTACAGTCCTTTGATGCTTGAGCCATGAGCTGCATTTCTGTTACCTCTTCTGGCATTTCCTTCTGCTCCCTCACTGTAGAGTCTCCATAAACCCCCTGTGTTTCTTCTACTAGCTCCCTTCTACTTTCTTCTCTAGCTTTCTCCCATGTAATGAAGTCCTTCAAGATCCCTGAAACTTCTTCCCAGCCATTCCACTTCTTACCTTCAGGGAAGCAGACCATCTGCTTTTTTCCTTCCCCAAAGAATTCCATAAGCACCACGTACCTTCCTTTAGGATTCTCCCTTCTTTCTGTTATATACCTCATGCCATTAGTCTCAATTGAATCTTTGTATTCAGACTTCCTACTCACCTGAACAGCATCTTCGATGAAAGTCTGAAACCACACCTATGCTTCTTCCCCTACCAGCAACACCATGGCCATATTAATTTCTCTGATTTTTAAAGCTTTCTTCCCTTTCACCCTGTAACTTTCAAATAGGAACCGCTTTGCTTCCACCCTTAGAGATCTTCTTCGAACCTCAGTCTGCTGAAACCTCCCTTTCTCCATGGCCTCCTTCGCCACACAAAATTTCCCTAAGATTCTAATAAACATAAACAATAACACCCTCTTTTCCTGTAACTCTCCTCTTCTTCCTCTTCTTCTCTTCTTTTCTTCCTCCTACACTCTTACAACTATTTAATCAATATAACAAATGTTTTGACATAATATGATAATACACTTTAAGCTTGAGTCTCAAGGTGTTTTTCTTGACCCTTGCTTTGAGATGTAAGACTCGTACACCTTTTTTTTATCAATAAAAGAAACTTTTATTAAGAAGAAAAGATGAGTGAAAAATACAACAGGAAGGGAGGGGTAAAATCTCTTAACCCTCCCTAAAAGTAGAGATCAAATTACAACAAGTATAGATAAATGGAGTGTGGTTTAGTAGTTAGAACATATGATGGCGATATAAGTACATATATATATCAAGAAAAGATAATAAAAAATGTGAACAAAAATTCATGTATTGCTACCTATACTTTAACTTGATTCCAACCTTTATGCCCTATCCCACTACCTTGACCAAACCTAAGTCAGGTAAATGTTAGACTCAGGTAGGCAACATATCTTGATTCTTGGATTAGATCAAGATATGGATCGAAGGTCAGTTATTAGGAAGACAAGATATACAATGAAGAAAGTGAAAAACAAAGCCAAGATGTATAAAACATGATTTCATATGGAACATATAAACACATTACTAGGGACAGAATAAAGGACATGCCTGGACCCCATCATTCCTTTGTTTGCGGCGTTTCAGAGCAGCTTGTGCTTGCAATTGAAACTCACGAGCAGCATTAAGAATTTCTGCAAAAAATTTCCTTTTTTTGGTCTCCATACGGTTTTTTTCCTCCTCTTCTAACCTTGACAGTCTCTATAACAAAGAGATTTCACAAAATTAGCACTGAACAGAATATTATGAAAACAAGATAAAAATTTAATATAATGTGTCCAGGAATGGAATCCACAAATCCCATAAATGAATTAAAGATCCATACTTTAAGCATTATACAAGAGGGAGGAAACCACAACAAGTTGTTACCTTTCTAGGAGTTATCCTAATAGAAATGTTAACCTGATAGGATGGTTACAACCATTGGATTTCTTACCACAACTCCTCTAAATCTCTAATTATCTAAAAGAATCTAAGCAGGTAAAATTTTGCAAAGGTGAATGCCTAGTCTGGATGCATCAAATACAGTGCAAACTTCCATTAACATCAAGCTTTACACCTCCCATTTAAGGAAGAAAAAGAATCTAGAAAAAAACAAGCAACATATATAGTACTAAATCACCTCTGCTTCCCGTTTCTTTCGCAGCCGCTCATCAGTTTCCATGGCAAAAGCATCTCCCACACCATACATAATAAAGGGATGATGCAAACGCATCATTCCCCAGTCAAACAACTGCTTGTCTGGATATGCACAATTATCACGCAACCAATACTCTGAACACACTTCAGTCCTAACCTTGCCTTGCAAATCTGCTAACTGGTAGAAAAACATCCTTGCCCACAAGGACAGAACAAATGTCATCCCTCAATTTCAAAAGAAAATAAGTTATAGGAGACCTAAAAACAGTGAAGTGTTCACGCATAATAGGTAACGTTGTGGTAACTATACTAGCATTAATTGCCCTGGAATACACCCCTCAGCAGTGTGTATCCAAATGAATGAGCCAAAAAAGGCAACGCAGGGTACAAGATACTCTTCCTGTTGCCACAATTTGAGAAAAAAACTTCTCCATCCAATTTATTGATAGATGTAAACTATGCTTTCCAACAATATAAACAGTTATATGGTCTCTACAAAAAATTGATAATCTTGTAACTCAAAGCACAAATTTTGTTATGCAAGCATATCTCAAAAATACTGATTCATGACCATGGACAACTATATGGAAGTAAAATGATCTTTTTTATGTGTAAGAATGATTCAGTGGTCATAGCACTTTTAACTATAAAGTTACCTTTAGACCATATAGCTCAAGTAAGCACTTCATCTGCAGGTCCTCACCTCTACTCGAAGGCAACTCTGTTTTCATTATAATATGTAGAGTCAGCTACGATAAAGAACTCCCAAATAGCTGGAAATATAGTAAAGCTTCATTTCGAAAAGTGCATTGGTATCATTTCATTAACAGAATAAATGAAAATTTTCTGTGCAGGTCAGATGTGAAGTTTTTTTCTTTTCATTATTAGTATCAAATTTAGAAGTTCTATTGGGACCAACCACTGAATGGACCAAACTAAGGAGATCATTTGGCCAAAAATCAACTAAACTGATAAGCTTAAGCTTCCATCTTTGGAGCAGCTGATTATTTGATCAAGCATTGTGGCATAAAAGACATCCTTTGTAGGATCACACTGAAAGGTAGTTTCCCTTTTCTATAATACTCTGCATGTATCTGCATACTGTTAGGTGACCGTCCTTTTGGTTAATGTTTTAGAGTTAAGCTCCTAATTTGCAAATATAAGGAAAAATATGAATTTACAATATCACAGTTCCACAGATTAAAGAAGGAAAACAGTCAGAAGCTGTCATACTGAAAAAGATAAATGATTTTCAAAGTTTTTTTTCCTGTAGACATCAGAAATCCAAATGGTAGTTTTCTATCAATGAGGTTATTGGCAAATTAAATGTAGATCAGTAGAGGTTGGAATCTTTGAAAGCAAAGTTATTAACAATCATGAACAGATAAAATTCATCGATCCTAGTCATATACAAATAAAGGCACAACATTAAGCTTCTTAAAAGAATGAATGAAATAGTAACCTTCAAGCTCAGTTAAACGACGATGAATATGGCTTTCCAAAAGACTTTCCCTTGACTCTATCAACCCCAAACCCGAAATGCAATATGGCCGTTGCTTCACCAGTGCATCTTCAAGCTCCATTATTGAATACCCCTCATTCAAATCCCTAGGGCCACCCTGCATCATAAAGGTTCACAGAAAATTCAAATTTAGAGCTAAATCATAATTCTTGTAGTCAATAAAGCTACAGCAGAAACTACAACATAGCATCATGAAAAGCAGATGATATGTGGTGTCATAATCAATTAAACACCATGCCAATGACCCAGTAGCTTAGTAAGCTTAGATGGTCACTCAGTGTCCTTCAGTATATAGAGGCACAGGATCAAACCCGCATAACTGCAGGCTCTCTGTCCTAAGGTCAGTGGACCTCATCTTGAATATTCCATAAAGACTAAAGAGAAGCAAAATCCGATGCTAACCAACCCAAGAAAATACGAAGAGAAAAGGGCGTCGAGAGAAGCCATACCGAATCCTCCTCCGGGAAGCGGTCACCGTCCTTACTGTGGGCTTTACCTCCACCATCATCCTCCACAGCGTCATCGGCCACATCGTCGGCACTGTAGATGGACGAAACAGTATCGAAGATCTCAGGAGGAAGAGGAAGGTTTCTGGAGATGAGATTCAGGGCGCAGATCAATGCCTTGGTCTTCTGTATTTGGTCGAGGGAGGATCGATTCTCCAACTGGGCCACCATGGCGGGAAAGAAGAAACGGATGTTAACTAATATTTGAGATTTCAAATATAAAAACCCAACGGTTTTTGCATTCTGCTTACAAAACTCTTCTTACTTACTGTTTCCATTCCCTCTCTCGTCCCTTCTTTCACTTTGCGAAACCCCTCTCGCCCTCTCGGTTCTGTATGGAGGAAAATAGTGGCAAATTACGGACAATATCCCTACTTTTATACGAAAGGACGGAAATCAACCCAAAGTATTTCGTACGAGTAAATTACCCCTGATAATATGTCGAATAGCACAACAACCACCAATCCATCACGTGGGTGGGCAAGAATCTAGATCCTGGATTTCTGATCACCAACCAAACACCCCCTAACGGACAGAGAAGTTCTGTCGTGTTGACTATACATCATCTTATGGGACGGGATCTGCTCCTCACACAGGGGCGCCTCACAGGAATATCCACCGTGCATTTAGAACATCTCCCGTGAATAATCTTATAAATACGGGAGATGTAGGATGTTCGTGTGAGGCGCCATGAGTGAGGAGCAGATCCGCTCTCCATTTTATGTGGATTTAGTTCGATTGGTGGTCCCACCATAGAGATAAATCAACTAAATCGAACGTCTTTACTACAAATATTTGGACAGTGAATTTCCAAAAAAAAAACAAAAGGACCGTGGGTTCAGCTAATAATTAATTAACAGAAAAAGTTAATAATTAATTAATCAGCTAATTAATGAACAACTAAATAATCAGTGACTATTAATAATTTAATTAAAATAACTTACTAATTAAATTTAATTAATTAATTAATTAAAAATAAATTATTAATTTATTAATAATAAATATTAAATTATTAAAATTTTATTAATTAAGTCATAGGTATTAATAAAACAAAAATATCAACAATATAATATAAACTAATAAAAATTAAAATATTAATTATTAATAATAATTAATTAACTAATTATTACTTTTAAATAATGAATAATAAAATACTAAATAAAAACAATTAACTAATTAATAATTAACAACAAAATAGCTAATAATTAATTAACTAAATAAATATTAAAAATAATTAATTCACATAATAAAATTAATAAAATCAAAATCAAAATAATAGTTCTTAATTATTTATTAATTCACTAATTATCAATATTAATCAATTAAATAATTAATAAAATATTACTATTCTATGAATTAATTAATAATTGTTATTATGGTGATTTTTCCACTATTTTCCCTTTTTTGCAACCAAACCATACAACTTGAAAAACATTCACCCATTTTCCCTTTCTCATCGGTCATCCATTTTAAGGGAGGGGGATGGGCTTCACCCCATTGTGTAACCCCATGAAGCCAAAAGAAAAAAGAAAAGAAAAAAATAGCCTAACCTTATAGCCATATACTAAGTGAGAGATTGAGAGGGTGTTTGGTTTCGTGGGTGTTTATTCAATAAATGCTGCCACATAGGCGTCACTTCATCAATCCCTCTCTCATACTCTTCCATATGTATCGAGAATGGCAAAAGTAGACTTTGGTTTCTGTGCATGCCTATCATTAACTGTTTGTTTGGAATCGTTGTTGTTGCTCCAGAAAACGGTGCCACATTAGCACCATGTAGGAAAAATGGTGCTCTAGGAAACAACCTTCTATTTGGAACCGTTTTTCCATAAAAAATAGTGCTCCAAGCCACACCTTGGGTATCGGGAAGGCATGGCTTGGAGCAATGCCAAATTTGGCGTTTTCTGGAGCTGAAGCTCGTTGTTGTCAATAGGGTAGTAATGTAGCAACGGAAAATGGATAGAAGTGCATAAAACATTTCCTAGAGCATTGGTACCAAACAGAAAAAGTTGTTATTGCTCCAGAAAATGGTACTCCAAGCCACACATCAACTGCAGCATTGATGCCAAACATATACTAAAGCTTCCACAAACAGTTAAGCATTTTTCACTGTTACGCTGATGTGGTGTCTATTTGTCATAAATGATTGTAATTATTACCTTTCTCATTTTTACAATCAAATAAAATACAAACGTTTGAATGAAAAAAATTAAACTGAACCAAACACCTACTAAATGATGGTCATATATATTTCATTAGGATGTTATTAATTATTGATGATGGCGGATTTGGCCCTCCAATGATATTGTGACACATGGCACCTCGGAACAACTAGGTGACACCCGGAACCACTTTGGCAACAACTTGCCTTAGCCAATTTGATGGTGTCCCACCTAGCGGCCTGGCCCTGGCGTGAACTGGCAACTTGGCACAGGCGCAAGCTGGCAGCCTGGCACAGGCGCGACCTGGCAGCCTGGCCCTGGCGGGAACTGGCAGCTTGGCACAGGCGCAAGCTGGCAGCCTGGCACAAGCGCGACCTGGCCCTGGCGTGACCTGACCCTAGCGCGAACTGGCAGCCTAGCACAGGCGCAAGTTGGCAGCCTGGCACAAGCGCGACCTGGCGGCTTGGCCCTGGTGCGACCTGGTGGCCTGGCCCAAGCGCGACCTAGCGGCTTGGCACATGCACTGACCTGGCGACCTGTGAGACGTGCTCGGCGACAAATTTGGCATGCATATCCAAACACTCCCACGATCCTTGGAAGTTGGTCCACGTGCTGAACGATCTGGAGGGTGGTCAACGTGCATGGCGGTTACCTCAGGAAATATCAGACCACTTAGACGACTTTTCGGAAATCTCGGATATGGTGCGTGAAACCCACACCAAACAATGCCTATATAAAGGCAACACCAATGGCATAGGGGGGGGGGCAAGTAAGCATATTCTAGCTCTCATACTTTGTGAATTTTAGCTCGTAGTCTACTATGAGAGTACTGACTTAAGCATCGGAGCGACCTCGTCGGGTTAGCCACCCTGGGTCCTCTGACATTGGTTTCTTACAGGTCTATAAAGAACTACGAAGTTCAACAATCAATCCAGCTCGCCACCAGCCAGCTCGGCACTCTGGTCAGCTCGTCACCTACTAGACAGCTCGACACTATGGTCAGCTCGGCAACTAATAGGCAGCTCGACACTATGGTCAACTCGGCTACTAATAGGCAGCTTGGCACTCTGGTCAGCTCGTCACCTAACCTACCTAGCTCGGCCCAGTCAGCTCGTCACCTAACCTGCCCAGCTCGGCCCAGTTAACTCGGCACCTAATTTGCTCCCAGCTCGACATCCAGGTCCTCATCCAGCAAAAGTTCACTTCGGCCTCTGAGTCATCGGCCACTTGGAAGCAGACCAAATGACGAGGTACTTAGCACAAAAAATTGATACACAACCAAAAAATTGATTCATCAATTGGTGTCATTTGTGGGAAGCGCTACAAAAAAGCTAAGTTCTCATCCACCGAAAGGCTAAGTCCTCTTCTTCCAAAAAGCTAAGTTTTCACCTTTTAGAAACTAAAAGCTCTCACTTTCTAGTTTCCATTTTTTATGAACTAAAAGACTATGTAGGAAGTTGATGGCCAAGAGACTAAGCAGCTCTACCAACTTTATTTCAACTCGGACAAAGCCTCATCAGTCCTCTTTGCGAGGTACCCTCTACAAAGATGAGTTCTTCGTGGCTTCCGCGGGAATAGGCGGCCAACAGACTGCATGGACACCCCTGCCGACCGAGCCTTCCAAGGCTCCCGTGCGAGTTGGTGACCTAAAGTCAGTAGTGCTGCCTCCGTAGGTCGAGCTCCTAGTAGCTTCTTGTAGGAGTGGGTAATTGACATCACTAACGAGGCTGATGCAGTGCAACCATAGCTCTAAGGCGCGACCTGACAGCCTGGCCCAGGTGCTGACCTGGTGGCTTGGCACGGGCGCCGACTTGCCGGCCTGGCCTAGGCGCGACCTGGCGGCCTGGCCCTGGC